GAGTAACCCGGGATCGGATTTTCATTATATTTGTTAATGCGGACTCATTTGCTGAGGTCATCAATGTCAAATGTAAATACAGAATGATTCTGTAATATTAATTGAAAAGTAAAGTTAAGAAAGTAACTTTAGCTTATGAATAAGAAATTTACATGAAAAACCATAGAAAACTCAGCATAGTTTATGTGTGGCTACAATTACTTTGTCACTTTGATTTACGAAGAAAGCAACTGTTTGTTCTTAGAATTGTTCAAGCTAACATCAGATGCAAGAAATAAACAACTCAGTTTGATCATATTCTTAATTTTTCTGTTTCTGGAGGCCATTGTGTCTGTGGTGGAAGGTGTGAACAAATTAAAGTGGCTGATTGCAGCTGTTGTCCTAATTGGATTCTTGCAGGCACCTGGTTGGTGGAGCCGTGCGGTTTTGTCGCAAGAGATACTTTCAAGAGCTAAGCCTTTTGAAGCAGAAGAAGGAAACAACCAGCAAATGATATTTGAGTGAGTCTTAGCGTTTGGAAACAGATTGGATATTCATGTTCCCTGGGAACAGCAAATTTTTAAACAAGTTTTAAACTTATTAGTTTGCCCCTATCACAGACCCAGTTAATATATGTCGTCTGTTTTAATGCCAGTGAAGTAGGTGCATTTACATGTGGAGAGTTAACTTTAAGAAAGAAAACAAAATCCAGGCAGAAAACTACCTGATGGCCAACAGGAAATCAGTAATTACGGTTATACAGGGAATAAACAATGTGAGGGACAGGGAAGGAAATGGTTCCCAAAGCGAAAAACACTAAGATTTTATTGTAGAAGAACAATATTTGCTTCTTTGGAGACTTAAATTAAAATAGCCATTTATGATGAAAGTGACAAAAATGAGAAACACTCTTTGGAATGTGATTTGAGATGTATCTTTCTGATGGGAGAGAAATGAATTAAATCTTCTTTTGCAGTCTAGTTCTGAAAACAGATGTGATTGTGCTCGAACCTATCCTACCATGAGTGGCAAATCTTGTAGTGATTGTCACCAAATTACGTTCAGGTGAGGGAAGAAC